TGACGGGCGTTTTCATTATTTAAGTTAATCGATAAGATCTTCTATTACAAAAAGATGTTATATAATAAACTTATTTTATTGAAAGGAGAATAATTTTAACATTTGAAGTCGATTAAAAATTAAAGTCTTAGTAATCAACCTTTTTTAAAAACAATAAAATGAAGAACTTAACTATCTTATCCAGTACATAAGTAAAATAAAGGACTTAACTATCTTATCTAGTATTTTTCTACTGTATTAATATTACGACTACTTGTAATCATCAAATACTTGAACAAAAATTATTCTAATTAGAATCGATGGAATACGCGTGTTTACGCGTAAACCGTTTAATCAATCGATTTAGAGCGAGCGGAAGGAGGTTTCCATCACTAAATAGATCTTGTGATGTCATAGTGGGTACAAAAAATGTGACAAGCTCGGTTTTCATGCAAATTGCTGTACTTGCGGCGTCTATCTAGACGTTTGTATCGATGCAGTCGCGCGTTTGTATCGATGCAGTCGCGCGTTTGCATCGCTGCTAAAAGTCGCTGTGTGTAACCGCTCTTAGGTGTCAATGACCGTTGACGTGTTCATGACCGTGTAAAAATTAGATGGTATTTTTCCATCTTCTCCAAGGATGTTATGGAAAAACAAACTGCTTTCTCGTAAGTCAATGGCTTTCTCCGAAAACTTAATACTACTTTCTTCTGTTTGTCATCACGACTATGATTCTTAATGACGATTCCCTTCTTAAGTCTAGCTAAACCTCTTTGGTTATCGCCTTGCATACTAAAAAGGTGGGTTCAAACTTAGAATGCGATTATTCTAAGTCTAAGGGTTCAAAGTGATTCGGCCTGAACATGCGTAGCTGCGTAGCACAAAACACCTCTATTATACTTTTTTCTGAAAGTTTCACACGTAGTAATTATTAAATAATCTATGGTTTAACCACTTTTAAGTTATTTTGTGATTTTTGTTCTGGTTAATAAAGTTTAGGTATTTATATTTGCCATGTCAAACCTTAGAGGATGTAAAAAAGTAAAATCACTCAAATTTCAGTATAATAGAAATAGAGATGTACTCACATGCCACATTGAAACAAATACCGTCACTTAATGAAAATCTCTCTTTTTCTATCGCGCCATGCTTCTCAAGTGGCGGGATTGTCTACTATGCAAACACGTGCATTTTATTGCGCGCGCTGTACATAGGGCGCACTATAAGTTTCCGAAACTGGCTACTTAGATACATAAACAATATTTAAAAAGTAATTACAACATTTGAAAATGGAACCATTTGGCTGTAGAATACAGTTTGTTTCATCTGACTGTCACTTGTTTTTACATTGTGGCGTCATTTTAGAAATAGGTTGTCTAGATCACCATGGATTTGATTCGTGAAAATTTTCGTAGTATGATTTTCTTCGACTTTAAGTGTAATGTACCAGCTCAGCGGAGCTTTGCTCAGCTTCAAACTGCTTTTGGCAATGAAGCACCATGCAAGACGACTATTTATAGAATATTGCAGAATTCAAACGCGGTTGTGTAAATCTCAGTGACGAATTTCGTGATGGTCGCCCGTCCACTGCTGTGAACAACAAAAACGTCGATGCTGTGCGGCGTATGATCAAAACAGACAGGCATGTGGCATACCATCTTTAGGCATGGGCATGAGTCAAATACAATCAATACTACACAAACATTTCGGTATGAAAAAGCTGTGCTCTCGGTGGATCCCACACAATTTGACTGAGGCTCAAAAACGGATCGCGTCATTTGGTGCAATGCCATGCTTACCAGATTCAACGAAGGGGCGTTAAATTTGGTGTGGGACATAGTAACAAGTGACGAAACATGGAGTTACGATCTCAAAACAAAGCAAAAATCGAGCGTATGGGTCTTTCGAGATGAGCCGAAACCAACCAAAGTGGCGGACGTGCAAAGTGTCTCTAAGCGGATGATTGCTTTTTTTTTTAATAAAACTGGGCACGTGGCTACTGTTGCTTTCGAGAATCGTTGTACCGTGAATAGTGATTGGTACACGACCATTTGTTAAGTTATTGACAAACTCCGTAAAAATAACCGTAAACGCTGTATCATCTTTCACCACGATAATGAATTTTTAGACAAATGAATTTTTAAAGGTGAACAACTTTGACCATAAGAGCCATCCCGCGTACAATCCCGACGTGGCACCCTGTGTCTTTTATTTATTTCCAGAAATTAAGTACCCGCGGTCAACGATTTTCATCAGATGAAGAGGTTGTCGAAGAGTATGAAAAATGTGTTTCAGAGATTGCCACGGAGGAGTGGCATAAATGTTTTCAAAATAGGTTCATACGTATGAAAAGTGCATTAACGCTAACGGAGAATATTTTGAGAAACAATAAACTTACTGACCATTTATACTATTTTTTTTTTATTCATCACGTATAACCGTTTTACCAACATTATCTCAGTGATGACGGTGTTAGAAAATATCAATCATGTTTCAATGCGAAAGAGTGTCACGAAATTTAAAAAAGTACTAAGATAATTTTAATATATTTTCCTGCAACCATTTAATGAAACATCATAAATTGAATAGTATAACACAAAACAGAGTAAAAAAATTATCAAATATTTTAAGGAACTGAATATAAATTATAATATTCATTTTATTACTAGAGGTACTTAGCCATAATATAAAACCAATCATTCGTCACTTGAAATATCTTTCAATAATAATCTTAGTACAGAGTACTAAAAAAACCGACCCCAAAACTTCATGGAACATTTATTTGCCAAGTATTGTTGAAATCGGTTACCGGAAAGTGCGCGACACCGTATTCATCCCCTAGTTTGCCACCCTTTGAGGTGGAATTTTTCTTCAAATTTAAATGGTACCACTAAAAAACAAAATAGAATAATCAAAATCGAATAGAGAACCTCCTCTTTTTTTGAAGTCGGTTAAAAAAGTATATTATCACAACTTATTTTCAGAAACTTGTTGCCAGTTGACAGTATTCGTTTCAATATGCAATATGTTAAGCATGACTATCGAGTTTAAAATTGCTAGGCATATTGTCAGAGTTAGAGAACGAACCTTTGTAATGCAAAACGCCCAGACTGTGACGTTACAATCCTGCCGCCAATGACTTCGGCAAACTACCAAAAACGGATCTAATATAAATCTATTTTAGTCCATTTTCAACACAACATTTTTGTAGGTATTTTGGAACTTTAAACGTTCCAAAATTTTAACGTTATTTAGCGAGACCTAAAATAGTCACCTGCTTAATTACATAGATACTAACTACAATAAAGTATGTACACAATAAGACATACACTGTTTCAAGTAATAACCAAGTTCAAATTTTGTGAACACATCAGTTTCATAAGCTTTGGTCTCACTGCCTTTGACATGTAACAATTTGTCGTTGTCTGAAATTAAAAATGAATTTAAAACGCTATCTTACGGTAGTTAGTTTATAAGACGCGCACATTAATAGTCCCATACTAGGGGAACCCTGTATCCCAGGTGCCATAGACATACACACGGACAACCACAAATTACATGGGTGTAATTTGTGGTTGTCCGTGTGTGTGTCTATGGCACCTCATTCATATGACTCACGAGAGAAATAAATGTAGGCAAACAAATATTTCTCCCGCCCCGGGAATCGAACCCGGGACCTTTGCGTGGCAGTCCAGTATGGTAACCGTTCGTTACGGAGGCAGTTAAATATAGGTAATTACCTATATTTAAGTGCCTCAGTCGCCGAACGGTAAATGAATATGAAGATAAATACCTACATACAGTTCCTAAATTGATGATGAAGCTTATTACCTACACAAAAAATGATGTCTGACCATTACCTACATATGGAACAATACTCTACGAAGGTTTTTTTTTATTAGCAGCAAAAAACAAACCCGTGCAGAATTGGAATATATGGATTGAATGTATGTAGAAAGATAAACTTACGGACATATGATGAATCAAACAGATTTATTCCAATGCATTGAATAACCAGAAATATAGCAATACTATGAGAATACGTGGTAGGCATTATATAGGTACCTACGTATACTATAATAAAGTATCAAAATTATAAGTTTATAAAAACATTAATGAAGTCAGAAATGCGCATAAATATTATTTTATAATAATTTTGTGTATTGATTAAATGGGTAAAAAATATATTTCGGAAAAATAAATACTTACAAAGCTGTTAAAAGTCTGTCAAAATCGACAATAAGTGCGACAATACACGTCCGTTTTTTTCATCCGATAGTCGGATCCGATTGTTTGATCAGACTACCGGAAGGCGCTCGTACCATATAATTGTATGGACACTCAATCGGACGTGACGTCACGTCCGAGTCGGAAATAGCGTCCGATTTTATTAACGATCCGATTGTCTGAAGGCGCGCTTTCTATACTTTTGCGCGGAGACGATTTTTCCGATTCTTCCCTCCGATTTGCAGCGTTCCTAATGCAAATTATTCAAAATCCCCAAAAATCAAGGTTATAAATTTGGGGAGAGTAAAGGTGATAATTTCATTCCCACATGTAATAATATTTATTCATTCTCAGTATTTATTATATTATTATTGTTACGCTTAAAAATATATCAAATAATTAAGACAGTCAAAATGTACCCATCTATTACATATACGCTATGCTATAATTAGAAATAAACTCAACAAGTTGAATTCAGTTTAAGCCTTACCAATTAAGCTTGACGAGTCGCAAGTTGTGGTATTAAGGCCGTGCTCCGTCAGGGGCCCCAAAAAGTATGGTTGCTGTTATTTTGTATGAACTCGTTCACAAATGTCCGTATCCGGGCCGGCGCCGGGACGGGCCCGCAGTTCATACAAACTATAGTCCATTTGTTTAGGTACTTAACTAAATGTAAACAATCTTGATACATCTTTTTATTGTAACATATGCTTTACAAATCAATAGGTATAAAAATAGTCATGCAATTTCATATGAAACTAAGTATTTGTATTTTGTATTTGAAGGTAAGTAAAAATCAATTTATAAATGTATATTTCATTAAATAGATATCTCAAGATTGTTTACATTTAGTTAAGTACCTAAACAAATGAACTATAGCATGCCCGTCCACGTCCCGAGCACGTCTCTGATGTGTGTGGATAAATAGATAAATAAAATGTTTTATTCGTTCAGTTTAAAGGGCATAGTATAGGGGCGGATGTTTCCATTTAGGCATGTTAGGACCTGTGTTAGAAAACATCGCTCTTCTATAATATTAATCGTAATCTTGCTCTTATATAATTTTAAGATGATGAAACATAATACCTTCTCTACTAAAACTAATCTACTATAACTGGTGTTACAACTAATACAAATTTCACTAATTACAGTAACTTTTTAACTTTTCAGACTAAAAAAATAGATTAGCCTAATTGTTAGTGTGTGAGTGCATGTTTATGTGTATGTATCTGTAGGTGTATAATTGTGTGGAATGTGTGAATGTGTGTCAGCCATCCGATAGACGTACAATATCCAAAATAATACATTGTCATACCATGTTAGATAGTATCATTTCAATTGTTTGTCTCATATATAAGAAGTTACTAAAATAATAGTAGTATTATAAGTTTATATAAACATATATGTAAATTAAATTTCGATTTGTGTATATTTATATTATTTATTTACATTATACAGGGTGGAAATTTATAATGCCACCTGGAGGGAAAGTACTCTAAATACTGGAAATAGAAATTTTTACTTAAAGGAAACATTCCTTTATTTTTTAAAAGAAATAAAACTGCGTTCATAGATTTTCGAAAATTTCTAGTAACACGTGGGAATCGAACCCGTTTTAATCTGAAAAAAATGCACTTTGCACTTTTATTGCATCGATCGATAGGGTTAATTATAAGAATAAAATGTCTCTCATAAAATTGGTTAATTAAATGAAAAAAAAAACCATGAAATCTTAACGTATTTTAATAAAACGAAAAAAATGGTAACCTAACATTGACGTAAGTCAATGTAATCTAACTAATTAGTTGCTCGAAATGAGCTCCATTTCTCGGATATGTGATGCGACAGTAATCATCTGGCGGGGGAACTTCAGCATATAAAGCAAGTCCTACATGCGAATAAGTTGAGGATTCCACGCCAATGCCGCAGACCCCGTGTGAAACCACCAACAGTCGAGCGAAGACCTGCCATCTTACCTTACGTGAGAGGTGTTACAGACAAGATCGGAAGAGTCCTCAGGCGCGCATCTATCAAGACCTATTTCAAGCCCCTGAGGAAGATTTCTCAGTTCCTGAGACCCGTGAAATGTAACATCCCCTTACAGGATGCAGGAGTTTACAAGCTTGATTGTGAGTGCGGTCTCTCTTATATTGGACAAACAAAGCGAAGTATTTGTACCCGCGTCAAAGAACATATAGCTGATGTCAAACAACGTCGCGTAAACAAGTCTGCAGTCTGCGAGCATGTCATGGATAAACCTACACATTCAATGAAGTTTGACAAACCCCAGGTCCTTGCAAAAGAAGTCCGTTATCTGCCCAGGATGCTGCGAGAGGCCATTGAAATTAAAAAACATCCTAATTTCAACAGGGAAGATGGTTTCTCCGTACCACCAGTTTGGGATCCAGTATTTCCTCTAATGAAAAATCCCAAACAGACATAAGACTGCAGTACTAATTAATATGTTTTAATTTATTCTAATTTCTATTAATAATTAATAATAAATTAAACTTAATAAAAAAATTCATTCAATAAAATAATTTGTAAAACTTAATGTAGCGTAAATTGGAATGTTTTCTTTGTAAAATTAAAAATAAGGTATTTAATTAATAACTATTGTAACTATAGTGAAAAAATAGGGTGGTTTGCATCAATATTAGACATAACTGGTTGAAGACTGTACCACCTCAGTCAACCGTGACCATGGGACCTGTAAAGGGCCCGAAACGTCGGTTTGTTTGAAAAAACAAATATACGCGATTTAAATCCGGAAAAATAGTTTCATTCCTATGTATAACAATCGCGAAAACCTAAGAACTCGATTTTGTATATACTGATATAGTATAAATTTTATGTTTACTTGTTAATTTATATATACATATATTTCAAACTTGTAATAATAATTGCTCAATCTCCTCATATGACTTAGCTTCGAGCCATTTTGTAATTGCTAACTTGCATTCACGAACTATTTTCTTGTACAGGTCCAGTTCTCTGTTTAAACTATTATATAGATATCAAGCCCTGTATTTGTACTGTCTACTAGCCGCAGTAGTTAAAAAAGTGGATAGTCTTTTAAAATACCTACTGCTCGGTTTTGTTCGGCAACAGCTGTATTCTTTTTTCACACCGGGGACCGGTTAAAACGTGAAAGGGTCGCGCGCTCAACGAGCACCGACTGATCGTCATCATCATATTTAAGAGCCAGGCTCTTGTCGGTGACTAATAATAGTAGACAAAGAATCAGAAGATTCTAATCCTACTGGATAATTTTATACATGTAAGCGGTTTGCTAATAATTCTATATAAATATTGCTATATAAGCAGCGCACGTGCGATGTTGAAAAAAATATCAATATCGTTCATAAACAAACAAATAAATAGTGATTTTATCAGTGATCATCAATGTAACAAAAATATGATAAAATTCTCGAATGCGATTTTTCCCACATAGCTTAATCCAAACAAAATCTCTAAACGAGTTGTTGAGTTAAAATTCCCTGTATTTGGGGAATTCCCCATAAATTGGAAACACTGCAGTTAGTTCAGAAAAGTCTGACGTAAGAATCGGCCGTCTATCAGACGTGTACTGAGTGAATCCGATCCGATAGTCGATCCGACCATCAGACACGAAATCGAACGTGTATTACCGCACTAAATAGGTACGTATCAAAGAGAATAATGTCTTTACGTATTTTTTTTTTCGTTTTAAAAAGATGATTTTCATTTAAGAGGATGGAAATAAATAAAGGAAGAGTAAGTATATAGAAAACAATTGAAATTTATTATTGTTTCATACTTATTTAATGTAATCAGCTAATTGTGCAAATAAGTTCATTTTTATAGTACCTATATAATTAAAAGCTGTTGGCGTTTACTTTTTGTTAGTTTCAGTATGTTCTTTCATGTGATCTAGAACACGCCATATCTCTACATGGTACAGCGCAGCAGTCTCCACTTCTAGTTCTGCAGCCTCCACTGAAATAACACGTTTCCCGTATGTCAGTGTTTCCCAATGATATTATACTTTTGCTCACTGGTGTTTCCCATCATATATCAGTGCAAGTAGAGTGAATAAAAATCTTGTATGTACATACAACGCCGCGAGTTGTATGTACTAAGTACTTACCCCGTAAAGTATTAATTACTTGAAGATTTTTCTGCAGCAATGCCTTATCGGACTCAATTTCATTTTTTATATTTTTATGAAAGTCAGGACTATTTACGTCCTCCTCCAAAATGGACGTATTAGGGGTTTGGTTACGATTATCCATTTTAATATAATTGTTGGCAGCGATTTAATGGTAAAAACTTTTGCCGCTTTATTTTTTTTTTACATTTTTTTATTGAGCATTGGCTAACGCCTACATTTTAAACAGGTAATAAAACAAATGATTAAGTAATTATTTATTTGTTGAGCATTGGCTATAGAGCCATCAGCTTAAACAAGCAGAAAGGATTAAGAAACTTAAAACGTAATAACACTTAAAATTAAAAATTAATTTTTGAATAAGACTGTAACTACAAAAACCCTCATTTTACCAAACTTTAATTTTAATAATAATTAAGGGATTCAACACGTTATTATTATACTTAGACCATTGACGTAGTATTGTATTAGGTAATTGATTTAATTTAATAAATAATTCGTGTAAAAATCCACTTTTTGGATAGTAAAAAAGGAAAAATAGAAAAAAAAATTACATTGTTTTTATTTTTGAGCTTTGGCTACGAGCGAATCAGCTTAAAACTACAATTATTAAGAATTTAGGTGAATATTACTGAAATAAATTGATATGCTTCAGATACTTAACTAATGAAGAGTGTGTGTGTTGATTTATTTTTTGTTTAATGTGTTTTGATTTATTTTTTCCATCCTCTAAGGTTTTGAGTGATTGTTTAATTTGAAATTCGTAGCTTTAACCTAAATCAGGCCAAAAAAACGTGTACGTGCAATATTATCCGACTGTTTTTAAAAGGTAAGCAAATATATATTTCGTATCATTCAATTTCTGGAGTTTGACGTTACTTTGATGAGTTTTGCAAGTTGGTATCATAGTCAGTTGTCAAATTCTGTCACGCGCGTTGTTCTTTTGTGCGAATTGTGATTGCACGGAAATTATTTTTAATTTTTAACGTTATGTACTAATGTTTATTTGTTGATAAGTGTTGGATTGTTTGTACTTTATCGTATTAAGGTTAAGTATTATAAAGGCAAAATGAGCGACGACGATCGTGACATCGATATTGAAAGTGATGTAGGTGTTTTCTCCTTTTGACATAACATAATGTTCTGCCATCATCGCCTGTTTACTTTCGCATCTTATGATCATTTTGTTTATTTATGTAATTTCAGGCTGAGAATGACTCCGACAATCGCACACACGCTAGAAATAATCTGAGTGGCAGTGGATATTATTCCCAGGTATAGTGTTAGTGATATAAAATAGTTTGGCGGCCGTTTCCGCTTGAGAAATCACCACGTGAGGCGTTTAGCTTAGATCAAGACAATTTACATATTATTACACTTGTGACGCCTAGTGCTTGTATAATTTGACTTTAAAACTGAACTTCGACACACGCTACTCCGAATATATTATGTTACTTCGACATGACTCTACTTACGAAGCATAGTCGGAGCAGTGTGTCAGTTCAGTTTTATAGTTGTATAATTATTTGTTGTGCTAACTTTGACTGTTGATCATTTCAGGCAGAGAAACGGGCACATCACAATGCATTGGAGAGGAAACGTAGAGATCACATAAAAGATAGTTTCACATCTTTAAGGGACTCAGTACCTGCTCTTCAAGGGGAGAAAGTGGTATGTCTATTTATATTAAATAATAAATATTGGTCCCAATCTTTTCCCTATATTCTGTGTTTTAGTGAACAATGGTATAGTGTAACGGACTGGTATCCTCAACTCGGTGACTAAGCGCCTATTTTGCTTGTGGTGGGTGAAGGGTCCTACTCATGCCACCCAAGCTCCTCCAAGAATCTCAGTGTCCTTTTACTTAGGGCTGTAGTTAGAGTGTGTAGGTCGTGCCTTTTAAGCTTATATTTTTTCTGAATAGACTGGCACATTGGGAATGGTTCCTTAGCCTTTCTACAAACCGTAACAGGTTGTCCAGGTGTTGTTAGCCTTTAGACGGAATGTGTATGAATTTGTAGGTACACACAATATCACTGAAGTCTCGGAATGCATGTGAATACAGATTCATAACACAAGCAATTTAAAAAGTTAATTATGGTCTTACTCATTCATTATAACGAGTAACTGTTTGCATGAAAAAAAGAAAGAGGATAATGTGCTTTTTAATTTGACATATAATACTTGCAACATCTTGTTTGTGGTATGGAGTGATTGTGAGTGATCATTTTGAAAATTGTGGGTCGAAAAATATGATCAATGGAGAAAACTGGCTAATTTTAGTGCAGTTATCTTGTATGAAAGACAAAAACATACTTATGTAGGATTTTTAGGCATATATTAAACTTTAAAAAAAAAATTAGGTATTCATCAAAGTTGACTAACATTTTTGACAATTATGTATATTTTTGGGAGAAATTGTGATAATATGGTGGTAAATAACTTTGAATTTCTCATCAAACAAAACACTATGTTGTCATAGAATAGTTCATTAGTAATTTTTATTTCAAGTAAAATTGTGTAGTAGTTTTAGCATAATCGTAATTTTTGTGAGCATCTGCAAATATTCTGTGGCGCCACTATTACACTGCGCGAGTTTTTGCATTTACAGAATTACAGCTGTCAATTGAGTCTAAGGTTTGAGAGGTTGTTCTTGGCCATTGGTAGGGACACTGTGGGTTCTGGTCCTACAGCCTCCATCTCCAATCCTTTTATTTTATTTTATTTTCTTAGGGGAGTTTACAGCTACTTTTACAACATGGATTTAAATATAAATAATCAGATGCCAATTAAAAGCTTCCACATATGAAAATTAGAAAATAACACTACCATAAATAACTCTTCTATGACAGCACAACAATCTCTTTATCAGGCACTTGAAAAGAAGTTATTAGTCATAATAGTTTTTGTATTCATAACGCTATTACAGAAAAGATCTATGTGACAGTCGCCATTAAGTTGGTTAAATGATGTTAATGATCTTGGTAGATTAATTCTAAAATTAGTACGACTAACTGTAACATGAAGCAAATTATTCTTACCAAACTTCTTAACTGGAATTTTGAGTATAATGTTATTAAGGACCTCTGGATAATCAATCTTATTCTGTGCAATGTTCAGCAGAAAACACGCATAAACTATATTTCTCTGTAGATGTAAAGGTAATAGATGACATTTTTTCAACGGTGCATGTGTCTCGCCATTTTATCAGCTGCATCATTGCCATGTGAGGTGTTGTGTTTTTTAATCCATTGTAGAGTTACATGATTGTGTATACATACTGCCATGAGTGCTGATGGCATTTATGAATAAGCCCAGAGTTGATGTTATAGCAGCTCAGGGCTGCAATTGATTATAGGTCTTTTCACCTTTGTGTAGAGCCAGAGAGTTATTTTCGATGAGACTCCCCATTGTTTACCTACAATTTTATGACACAGCCAGAAGGCGATAGAAGCTTATTTATTTTGTGGTCCAAGTGTTTGTTCTAGTTCAACTTGTTGTCAAGTGTTACTCCTAAATATTTAATTTCAGCCGATTATTGAGGTTCTGTATTGAAGAACTTGGGTATATATATGTAGATAGTTTACCAGTCATCTTTTGTTTGTAAATAGTACTAGTTCTGCCTTAGTTGGGTTTACCGATAATTCATAAGCTGTGCGCCATCTTTCTACAATTGAGAATGCAGCTTGTGTAATGTCACAAAGTGAACAGTAATCTGTACTGGCATAGTTGCCCGTTATTGTATTGCTATGTCATCAGCAGTAGACAGTAGTGGAGAAATTAAGGTGATCTCAATTTAAAGTTAAGGTGGTGTAATTTTTATTTTTTGTACTTAAATTTTATAGAAATTTATAAATTATGCGTTGCAGGCAAGTCGCGCACAAATATTAAAGAAAGCCGCTGAATATATCCAGTTCATGCGGCGGAAAAACAATTCTCACCAGCAGGATATAGAAGATCTCAAGCGGCAAAACAATTTACTGGAACAACAGAGTATGTTTCCCTTTTCAATTATAACATTAAATGGCTCTTCCCTAGCTTTCTAGCAGCTTTTTAATTGTTATTTTTGGTGTATTATTATATAGAACAAGAAATTCTAAAATATGTTTATTTTTATCTACAAACAATTACACTTCAAGCAGAAAAGATATGCAGGAGATTCTCAGATTAACATTGCACAACAGCGCTAATTTGAATGTCGTAACGTTTGGTTTTTGTATGACAATAGGGTTCTAACCTCCTGTCTGCAATATACCAGTGGATGACAGACATGACATCTTCTATGATGGTAACCAACAAAATGTTTAGAAACCACCTCATTTTTGTAAATATGAATTTATGAGAATTACGCCTATTGGATCCACAGTATTGTCCACTGAAATCTTTATAAGTTTAAGGTCCCAATAGAAATTTTAACTTTAAATTTGCCTGAGTTTGAAGAGAATTTGTAAAATGTTTAGTGGCTGCTTTATGAAAGTCTATATTTGTACATGTATTGAATGCGGACCTTAATAAAACATGTTACGTTATAAATTCAAAGAACTAAATTTCATTATCGTCATCATCATCATCATCGTCTTATTATACATACGTCTCACAGCTGGGCACGGGTCTCCTCTAAGGAGAGGGTTTAGTTAGGCTATAGTCCCCTGTATGTGTCCAATGCGGGTTTGGGACTTCCTATGCTTGTGAACTGGTGAAAAAAATACCTTTAACGTCCAAGTTTTATCACTTTGTTTTCCTACACCATTACTGTGAGGTATAGCTCCTAAACATTCACAAATGTACATAACCTGGAAAGAACAGTTATAGGCATAGAAATTCAAACCACCAGCCTCTCAATAGAGCTACCTTTTTTTTATTCAAATGTAAGCGTACATTAGACCTCCATTTCACGATGAGGTCGACTAAGCACACCTAAACAATGCATATTCACTCTCGCCTTGAAAAGGCCCAAGTTAATAACGTTCAAGGAACAAGTCTGCAAGCAGGGAATTCCACTCCATAGCCGTAACGCTTCGTGCGAACCTTCGGGCGGAATCCAAACCTACGCCTAGTCCCCCGATGATGGAAAGGTGGAATTAAATCGTGTAATTCCATCGCACACTCTCCGTGATATATCCTGTAAAATACCGATAAGTAGGCAACTTTACGGCGGTGTTCAAGTCTCTGCAGCTTCGCCTCTACTAATTCCGAATCACCTATAAACGTCTTGACATGCTTGTCAATTGAATCCAAGGTGGTCAATTGACATGTAGGAGAGCCATCCCAAAGGTGGCAGCAGTACTCCATACACGTTCGGACTTGTGCTTAATACAACTGAAAAACTGTCCCGGTGTGAAGTAACTCCTCACCCTGGAAAAAGTGCCAAGCTTCCTGGCTGCATTTTGGCCATCGATTCTGGTATCTGCCGAAGTTCAGATTACGATAGGTCCATTCCAAGGAACTGGAGACGGTCGGCTATCGGTATGGATATATCACTAAAAGTCTGAGTCAGCTCAAAGGGACTCCGTTATGTGGAGAATAGACACGCCTGCGTTTTGGTAGCATTAAATTTGCCAAGATTGGTATCGCTCCAATCGGAGCCTGTCTTGAGTGTCAAATCCAAATAGCTAACCATAGACTCGACAAGATTGGATTTCCTCTCCACTGACCCTTGTATTGGTCAAGTACCTATCTACAACTGTGCTGTCATCAGCATACGCATAGGTACCTGGAATTAACATATTATTGATATACAGCAGACAGAGTGTTGCAGATAGTGCAGAACCTTGAGGAACTCTATCTATCGACCTTTCTCCAACTGGGCAGATTGGTGGATCCTGGCCTGAACTTAAATAATATGTCCATTATTTTTTTATTTATGTGTATTATAATTTTACTAGACAATATGTTATGAATAAGTAACAGAAAGAACTCAAATTCTATTTCAGTACGGGCATTGGAAAAAGCACGAGCAACTGGTAACTTCATGGACGCTCATGAACTCGGATTGGGTATCAAATCAGAGGGCAGTTCACATGATACTGACAGTTCAGATGGAGAGGGCACCACACGGCGTGTTAAGAAACTTAAAATCAACGGAGTTAATGTGAGTTAAATAGTATTAGTGTTAGACCAGTTTATAGATGTTACTCAATTTACAAATGTTCGAACTTGGTTATAGGTACACTTTTCTCGTGTAACTGCTCTTAAAAAAATCTTCTAATTATCTTAACCATGTGACTGCCTCTCACCTTCCGTTCTTTTATTTCCTGTTACTATTGGAGAGATAGTCTATTAGCCAAAAAATATAACCACTGATAAAGTTTTGTTTGTTTGAATAATAAGGAGTGCTTGTACATCTACCTGCCATTTTTAAATATATAACAAATATTTTTTCTACTTTTCTTTGTTATAAAATGTCTAGATTTACGAGTAGCTTATATTTTGCGAAAAGTCTGTGTTCCTATATGTTAGGCTGATTGGTGTCCGCTTGTATTCCACGCGGGTGGATAACAGATGTTCTTAGGTTCAACTAAGGAATTCGAGAAGTAATTTGTGGAAGAAAATGTCCACATTAGTCTTTAGTTTATCCAATCACTGGTGGTGACAGTTGTAAACTGGTTGATCAGAAGTGTATTTGTATTTGAACTGCGCAGTGTCGGCCTGTACTTTCTTTTTATCGTATCGATGGCATACACTATCGTGCTTGCCATCGAGGTGAAAGGATTTGCCATGTAAGGTACTCGCCACTTGTTGCCCAATGTGCGCCAGACATACAGGAAAGGAATGGTAGGTCGTGTGGGGAGGCTACTTTCTTACAACCTTAACTTCCTACCCGCCTTCAACTTCATGAGTTGAAGTATATGGTATTAAGCAATAACTACGTCCAAATCAAATTCGAACATCTGTAAGTTGGTATCGAAAATAAATAATAAATGGTCTGAAAAGATTGCATATTTTGATTCAAAAGTCAACAATATGTACCTATGATGAATATTTTACTTACTCTTATGAGTACAGTTCATAAAGATACCATGTTTCGTTTTACAACTTTGTAATTTTATAAAATTTGATTTGACATAATTTTTATTTTAGATATTTTAAAAATCAACCTGAGTCATTTGAAACATGAGGCGCGAGTCAGTGAAATTGTGTATAGTATGGATTATTAGTAGATGTAAAAATGTAAATGCAAGGGAAACTTAAGAAATGTACAAAATCTGCTTATTTTTAATGTGTACAGTACAAACTCAAAATCTATTTTCTTTATAATTCTTAAAGCATCTCTGCGACTTCGAACATATATGTGATGTATAATTTGTCTTAAATAATACCTTTTCAAAACATTAATACTAATTTATCAGTACAACACTCTAAACAAAAGAACTACAACAATAAAGACAAGTTTCCCTTGTATTGAATAAACTGAATTAATTAAGTGGAATGTCGAAAGAGAATATTTTTATATGTGAATACTAAATTTTAAATTGCGTTATATGATCAAAATTTGTAAGTCGACTAAGCATTGTTTTATGTTTCGCAGCTAAACGATTTTAATAGGTACATGTGCTATCTTTTTAAACTCAAAAGTTTAAGAAGTACAATATACTTTATAATGTCAATTTATACAGGATGTTAGTAGATAGTTCTCTAAAACTTTAACCATGAGTTCCACTTAAAATTCTGTACGACTATTTATGGCTTTCATAGTGAATTAAAAAAACATATTCAATTGATAACATTTTGTACGAGGAGCTATGTTAGAAAGTTTTGCTATATTCGCCAAAGAAAAAGTTGTATAGAATAACAAGTAGAACATGTTGCTGATGTTTTGGGGACAGTCTACTACAGCAACTAACATATCCTATGTTGGGCTGATTAGTGCGTGCTTGGTTTCGTGCGCGTGGGTGGTTAACGGGTGCATCCCGCGTATATCCGCGGGTGACAATTTAGCTGACGCCTCTTGTGTATTGTAATGTTTTAAAAAAGTTCAGTGTACAATAGTATAATGAATTCGAACGTATATAGCTGTTTAGTGTTATTTGCCGCCCAGTTACATTACGGTCGCGTCGCTTACCACCCGCGTGTTTTAATTGCGAATAAGAAACCAACATTGAATAAGTTACAATAATGTACCACACAGAATGATTTTATTCTTTTATTTTTCTACATAAATGTAAAGGTGAAAAAAAAAAACGCGTTTTTGTAAATATTTTGGATTAGTGAAATGCGAATCTAACTGTTCGTTATTTTAGTAGAATCGTAACTGTTAGTTTTAAACTGTAATGAGTTTTCTTTCTTAATGAATGTGAATTCTATTTCATTTTATAGAACAACGTTCTATACGAAAACATCAATTTTAAAAGTTGTAAGGTATACGAGATAGTGAGCCACCACACTTGTCGACACCGGTGACAAAAAGTTGATCTTATGTATCAGTAATAAGAGCGAAAAATGTCTATGAGCGCAATGTCTTCTTCGCTCTTATTACATTGATAAAGCCTTTTCAGACCGACTTAAATCGATTCCTCGTTAACAAGTGTGGTGACTCCATCAGGCCACAGTACTGTACCCGAACTTCTACACGTCCCACTGACCTTCCTTAGACATCACCAACTAATGGACACTGAACATTATTTGCGTATTACTAGTGCAGCTATGCAACAGAAAGTGATGTTAAATAGATTTCAAAAGTCGCCGAAAAAATGTATTGGTTTTTTTGTAAATATAACAAACCTTTTTCTATTAAAGTGTTCGTCATCGTGCTTGAATACTAAATCAAAATTATTTTTCCTATATTTAGTAAGAAAACTCACTACTCAGGCTCAATTTTCATTACTGAGGAACGGAATAGAAGTGAATTGATGTAACGAAATTGTACGTAGCATAATGAACTTTATGTTATTAGTGTAACGCACGCGCTAAAAAACAGGAAGAACAAAAATTCGCTTGCATTCAGTTCCGCAGCAAGTTGCGCCTAAGTCGTTAGATGTAAGTTAGTCTTCTTGAACAACAATATTTTGTTCCTGTACATTCTTATATTTTGTTTCCAAGCCACTGGATGGTTTATATTGTTGAAAAATAATTTTTTAGTCGTTTACATAGTGTTTTAAGTGCAATAGAAAGATTGACTGTTACTCAAGAGAGTCACCACACTAGAATCGCATTAAGCCGGTCAGAAAAAACTTATGTCCATGAACATAAGGACGAAAGGGACGTTGTGCAATTCGCATCGGTTCGTACGAACGGGACTCGCCACAGGTCGGCAACGAATCGGCTTCCTGCGAATTTCCGATCGCGTCCGTACGCATGCCGACGACGACTGATCCTCGTTTGGAAACACCTAAAGCGACGGCGCGCGAACGGCCGCATCTGGACGTATCCGCGTTAATAAGTTTGGTGACTCACTTACAATGCGTTATCTGCTATTAAAAATAAGTAAAGGTAAACAAATATAGCTGATTGTCAGTTTGTTTTTAAATAAAGTTTCGATATTTGAAGGGTTTCAATTGAGGCTATCAGCGTAAAAGTGATGTAACCCCATGAAATACGTATAAATGATAATAAGGGATTATAATTAGCCAATTTAATTTTATATTAGTAATCAATCATGTATGATCGATATAGTAACAAAAAATATATACATATGTATATATTTTTTTTCCACATGAAAATAGCATGCGAATATAAAAAGAAATATGTTTTTTAGTATCGTTTAAAGTAATACTGTAGAAAAAACTAAATGTGGGTTGTACCATGCGCTTGTAGCCTCAATATTATTATTATTTCTTTGTTGAGCATTGGCTATAGAGCAATGACAGTAAATATACTTAAAAATTAAACTAAAAGTTAATTCATGTAAAAACTGTAACTACAAAATGGATAGCCTCAGTTATCGAAAACTTAACTTAATATTAAACGAGTTTCCAAATGGCCGCCATAAAGATCACGATTTCCTGCGAAAAAATGTCAGTTAATTAAATTATTGAAGAAAAATTACAATCGAGTTCTTAGGTTTTCGCGATTGTTACACATAGGAAATGAAACTATTTTTCCGGATTTAAGTCAGTCAACCGTAACCATGGGACCTGTAAAGGGCAAAAATAGTTTAATTTCCTAAAAATTACAATCATAGATCTGGCAGTATGGCCAATTAGACGACATAGCCTGTCCCGAAAGACGAAAAATTTTACTGCGGGCCAGCAAATTTGTATAAAAAAAATAGTGATGCATAATTTGCATTTTTAACGTCATATGATCTGTAGGTTAGTTACGTAGTTAATTAATTTATTTGTTTTGTTGTAGTTTTAAGCTCATGCCTCGTAGCCAATGCTCAATAATAAAAAAAAATGAATGCATTTAGTTTTTAATTGCTTTGCTATGCTAATAAGATCTGATATTACGGTATCCATTGACCTACCAATAAAATAGGCCTATGACGGTATCACAAAATGCAATACCGGACTGTATGATGGGCGATCTATGTACCTGGCAAAATTTAATATTAATTATTAAAACAAACTTTGATATCTAAAAAAATTAACTAAAAAATGAAACCGTTTTTCCGGACTTAAATAGCGTGTATTTGTTTTTTTCAAACAAACCGACGTTTCGGGCCCTTTACAGGCCCCATGGTCACGGTTGACAAAACAAATATACGCGATTTTAATCCGGAAAAAGTTTCATTTCCTATATGCAACAATCGCGAAAACCTAAGAACTCGATAAATTAACTAAAATTTTATAAAAATTACAAGAACGCATAATCAACCTCGAGCCACTCAACAAACCTGCTGTAGGAAATTAAAAAAAAAATGAATGAAAAAGTTACATTCTTCTGCTTATTAAATCGATGTCATACTTTATTACTACAGTGGCCCAGAATTCAGCCACGACGACCGCATCAATAGTAGCCGCCATTAATCCTCAACCGTGCACGTCTTAGGGCACGAAAAATTACAGTAGACAAATTTTTTTTCAATGCAAACTTAAAAAAGAAGAATAATGTAATAACCGGCCAGACACAAGTGTTAAATGTGCCAGTGTGTGTAGTTGTCCATTGTATGTACATGCAAATTAATTATTGTAAATTTGTGTAAATGCATAAAAACATACATTTGCTCGCTAATTTCGGTGAAGAGGACTATCTAGTACTAGTTGTGCTATCTTTTGTAAACTATTAATTTCAGTTGATATTTAAAGTCAATCTCCTAGATAAAATTTTACATCATTCACTTTTGTACTTTGCTATTTGTTTCATAATAATAATAACAGAAAAATATTACTTTACTTTTACATATTGTCTAAAAGAACCATTTTAAATATGTACATAAGAAATATTGTGTAGTTTGTATGATACTACTAATTAGCTCTATTATGAAAAATATTTGATCCGTCACTTTTCAAGGATTTGTAGGTGTAATATCAGGCCTAGTTTAATTTTAAGGAATGATTTTTTTGTTATATTTAAATGTTATGTTAAAACTAAAATCGGTAACCAAATTATATTTGTTCTAGAAGACTAAGTAAATTTTAAGAAAAATATAAAATACTCGTTAAAATTTTGTTTCTCTTTCACATTTCGTGATACCGCCTTAAGGTGGCCACTGACCATTTCCAGCGTAACG